CTGCATTAAACAGTTTTTTTAAGAGCCTTTTTTCAACAACTTACAATTTTAGGTGTAATCTATGTTTTCTTTTTTACTTAAGTATATTTTACTTTTGTTATGAATTTGTATAACTTTAGAAATAACAAATATATTGATTGCTTGACTGGATAAATAGTTTTTAATAAACATATAACAGTTATAATAGGTAGCAGCTGATATAACAAATAAACTCAAACTAAATCTCAACATCTTTAACGTATGTAAACTTAAACATTCCAAATACACAAAATATTACAATTAAGAAGTTTAAAATTGACAATGTTCAGATAAAACTCGAGACTTCAAATATATTTAGTCACCAGATTAAAATTTGTATAAAATTACTCCAAAATGATTCAAGATTTAATGAAACAGTTCGTCCTTAGTTTAAACTGTTCATACAGATATTGTACTGCAATATGCTCCCATTTGACCCCTCTTATGTATTTAAGCCAATCATTTTCTAGTAACTCCGTCTTTATCTCAATCGTCCATTCTCACATCGCTTTGGAGTCATCTTCACATTTCCGGACCAATTTGCGCACACACTACAATTCTATATACTTATTAAAACCTATTACCATAACCTATCTAACTCCTTAACTTCTTGCGACCCAGTTTTAGCATATAGAGCCCTTCTCTCGGTCGAGGCTACATCTGCTAATAACTAATATTTTAGTTGGTAGTTAGTTATATCTTTGCACAAAGACTGAAGTCTGTCTACCGTAATACGACGACGCCCTCTATAATAATGGGAAATTGAGGTTGTTGAAGTAAATGGAAACAGTGGCGCGGAATTTGACAATATGTATGGTTATACTAACTAAATAACTGCTAATCTGGGGATAATACTTATAAGGTGAATGAAAAGCGGTTGATATCCGTAGCAAAATCAAATTTAAAATTAGTAGTATGTAATTGGTCTACGCAAGAAAACAACTCAACTTATTTCTTAAAATACAAAATCTGGTTTTATCTCGACACCCTTCCTTCAACGATTCTGCAATACAAAATAATACGATTTATAGAAGACCTCAAAACAGTGGTGGATGGTGGATTTTGAATTTGAATAGACAGAAGAATAAGAAAGAGAGAGATGTTTAGAGTAGGGGTATAATGCCCTCTCCCTGGTCGTCTATACTCTGCACACGAATGGCTCTAAAACTAAAAAAAGCGTAGGAGAGGTACATTTTGTCCAGAAGCCAAGAGTTGACATATTAATAAACCTGGGTTCAAATAGCCATCAGAGCTCTGAGCTACAATCAATTTTAAACCGACTTTAAATAAGTCTCACCCACATACTTTGATTACTATACGGTGCAAGAGAGAGGTCCGACACGCCCAACATAGGGCGCGGCACATACTTTGATTTTTTCTTTAACTATACGGAGAATGGTCGCACTGCGTAGCTTTCTGAGTGCCTTTTAAAAGTAGATAGAAAACTCCGCCATTTTGATCCTTTATTACGTGTTGCCTACATCTTGGCGCAATATTTTTAATAGGTGCGTTTTAATCATCCGCTTCTGCTTCGGAATTGTCGGTTTTCTTGTTTTAAGTCACAGTTTATTGCTAAAGAATCAGTTAGCTCACTCGGACCAGTTGAAAATTCTAAAATAACATCCACTCCAGGGATACAAATTCAGAAGACTGCTGTTTTATTATAGGCGGTTGTCATATATTGTATTATCCGAGTTGCGCAGTGTATAAACTGGAACATTGAGATCAAAAGTGCCGACGCAGAGTGAGCGATCTGATTCTTTAGCTATAAACTGTGGCATAGGAATCAAAATGGCTGCGACCTATGTTGGGCGTGTCGGACCTCTCTCTTGCACCGTATAGTAATCAAAGTATGTGGCATATACAGAATTTTACATGCAGATTATGGTCAGTTTAATCGTCCTACTGAGCTAATTATTCGGAATGACTTAAAAAATTTAAAGATAATGGAAGTGTTGCAGATAGGATAAGGCCTGCGTATCATCGTCATGCACGTTCAGCTGCAAATATTGCTGCAGTTAGTGAAATTGTAGCTCGCAAGTTTTAGGCTTTTCTTATGGCTCCCTTTTGCGCATTTTGCACCGGAATTTGCATTTCACCTACATAAAAAAATTCAGCTAACTTAAGAATAAAGCCTAGAGACCATGAGCAGCGTCGAATTTACGCAATTTGGGTAATAGCTCAGCGTAAATCGATATTGACTTCAAAAAGGAATTCTTTTTTTCTGATGAAGCGCATTTTCCTCTGTCAGGATACGTAAACAAACAAAATTGCCGCATTGCGACCTAACTCTGTAGGGTTATCTTAAAAGTCGTGCTTATGCCAATCAACCTGAAACATTAGAACTAATTAATTAACTAAAAAGGATCGACTGTTGCAGAAGGTCTAGGGGCGGCCATTTAAATGACACTATTTTTCATATTCAATGCAATACTTAACATTTTCTATTGATAAAGTTAAAATATATATTTTTTTAATTTTTGAGTTTAATTTCATTTTAAAGTTCGGAAATTCAAATTAAATCACCCCATAGATCCATCTGGGTGGCAATCTAATCTCACCTAGTATACGAAAACTTTATAAATTAAATTTTGCATTATCTAATTTATTCTGTAGGTAGGTACATTTTGTTCTTCCCAATTTTTCGATTTATGCGACTGTTGCAGCGATGATTTTCTTATTGCAATCAATTCTCTTATGACCGAGCTATTTCTTTGGATGTAGATAATAGCCGCAGTGCCACAAATCTGGAAAATGTGGTTTCTTAGATACTAAACACTTTTATATCCGCCAACTGCGTTTTTTTTACTTCAAATCGTCGACGACAAATCTGTTCAACAGCTCTGAATAAAAAGCTGGCTACAGACGATAAGCGATAATATAATATATATTATAGCTCGGCAATGAGCTATAATAATATATTATATTATTACTGCAGTGAACGAGAATAAATATATTTTTTATTTTTCAATAGGCTGATCCAGTGAACTATATAGTGTAGTTGCAAAAATGGCGATGGAGAAAAAATTTGTTATTGCTAGATACCATTAATAGCTCATCAGAAGATAAATCAGATGCTGAAAGCAACAATGTATTATAATTAGCAATTAGGGTTAGTAACCAAAAAGAAATAATTAGATTCTGGTTATCAAATCACATCAAATACCGAAAAGAACGAGGATAATTTACACTTTTTAACGAATTTAGTGACGAAAAATTTACAAATTATTTTCGAATAGACTGAACTAATTTTTATGAACTTCATGATTTAATAAAAAATGAAATAGAAAAGCAAAATAAAAATACGCGGAAAAGCATTAGTTCCTTAGAGCGACTGGTAGTTACTTTAAGGTATGTATAAAGATAGATTATTCTTAGTTATAGGAAAGTGACTTTTACTAAAAAACTAAAGAGTTTAAAAAAATATATTAAAACATAAATATTATAAATCTGTGTAGAAATAGCAACTAATTTTACAAACCTACAAAATGTATTTATCAAATCACGTTCAAAACAAACATGTAAACAACGCCGTTTTGCTTTCTTGGCGGGCAGCGCGACACAAGAGGGGGGAAATATATATCCTAAAAATCGCTCGGAAAGCATATTTCGTCCAACATTAAATATATCGCCTGGCATCGCCGGGATATAGATATATATTATAGCATCAATGCGCGGCGACTTACACTTTTTAATGCAAAGCGATATTTTTATAATATGTGAGCTATAATATATATTATATTATCGCTTATCGTCCGTAGCCGGCTTAATATTTGCCAGCGATATATTTTTTTGACATTTTCGAGATAATGCATGTAAATCATACGATACGCAACCCAAAGAAACTGTGACTAAGATTTTGTTGGTCGATAGATCCACCTCCACCTTCATCAACTCAGACCTACCCATAGAAACCTACTGTTTTGACTGTTCCTTAATCTCTGGATCCGTCGTTTCAAAATGGCGCAAATAGTTCTTCTTATGAAGTTTAAGCATTGCTAAATACTTCTCTGAAGTTGTCACACGGTTGGATTTATTGTTAAAAGCGACACTCATCTGGCAGCAAGCTTTCTTATCCTCAAATATTCATGTACCAACAAATGTATTCTACACTCGTTTAAGTGAGATGCAGATAGCATAAGCAATCGTGAATGATATAACTAATCGTAGTGTAACAACCGTAATGTAACATACAGGATCTCCAAAGACCCACTTGTAACAACAGATAGGTCTTTAGCTACTGTTGTCAATACACTTTTAATGGATTATGGCAGCACTGTCACCAACCAAAGAAAGACCAGAAAAAACATCCATTTACCAGTGACAAATAAAAATAATAACAAATAAAAATTAAAAGAACAAAAATTATCCCTTAATAGCATAAGTCGAGCGGCATTGGCAATTAATTAAAGTATCATTTTAGTCCTTAGGGAATAGAAACGCCAAGGCTTCTGAAATGCTCGGAATATTTCATAACTGGTTTTGAAAAGGGGAAGAGAGAATAATAATAATATTAGAACAGTAACAGATGTATATTTAAAGTAATTAAAAAATGACTAATAGTCTCAAAAACAAATGTATCAAATTATAGTTAGGAAATAAAGCACAATTTAATAATACGAGTATATTTAAACTTTTAATAAAGATTTATGACAACTAGATAAACATTTTATTGACTTATCTAATTTAAACTTATTAACAACTAAAACTAGCAATGGAAACGTTAGTTATATAATCACATATAACATATATAAGATAAAAATAATACGCGGGACTAACATGTCCATTACCATCACACCATGGATTTCATCAAACATTTCTGGCCCGATGGCCTCTTTTAAAAAATCTAATTGCATATTGTCACAAATGCTTTCCAATATCTGATTGTTTACATCAAAGGTGAAATGTCACTATATTATTGTTCAATTCAGAGTTAATCTAATCATTCGTATTTTTTTACTCTGCTCTAAAATTCTCTAAAGGAGGAAGAAGAGGAAGAAGAGGAAGAAGAGGAAGAAGAGGGAGAAGAGGAAGAAGAGGAAGAAGAGGAAGAAGAGGAAGAAGAGGAAGAAGAGGAAGAAGAGGAAGAAGAGGAAGAAGAGGAAGAAGAGGAAGAAGAGGAAGAAGAGGAAGAAGAGGAAGAAGAGGAAGAAGAGGAAGAAGAGGAAGAAGAGGAAGAAGAGGAAGAAGAGGAAGAAGAGGAAGAAGAGGAAGAAGAGGAAGAAGAGGAAGAAGAGAAAGAAGAGGAAGAAGAGGAAGAAGAGGAAGAAGAGGAAGAAGAGGAAGAAGAGGAAGAAGAGGAAGAAGAGGAAGAAGAGGAAGAAGAGGAAGAAGAGGAAGAAGAGGAAGAAGAGGAAGAAGAGGAAGAAGAGGAAGAAGAGGAAGAAGAGGAAGAAGAGGAAGAAGAGGAAGAAGAGGAAGAAGAGGAAGAAGAGGAAGAAGAGGAAGAAGAGGAAGAAGAGGAAGAAGAGGAAGAAGAGGAAGAAGAGGAAGAAGAGGAAGAAGAGGAAGAAGAGGAAGAAGAGGAAGAAGAGGAAGAAGAGGAAGAAGAGGAAGAAGAGGAAGAAGAGAGAAGAAGAGGAAGAAGAGGAAGAAGAGGAAGAAGAGGAAGAAGAGGAAGAAGAGGAAGAAGAGGAAGAAGAGGAAGAAGAGGAAGAAGAGGAAGAAGAGGAAGAAGAGGAAGAAGAGGAAGAAGAGGAAGAAGAGGAAGAAGAGAAGAAGAGGAAGAAGAGGAAGAAGAGGAAGAAGAGGAAGAAGAGGAAGAAGAGGAAGAAGAGGAAGAAGAGGAAGAAGAGGAAGAAGAGGAAGAAGAGGAAGAAGAGGAAGAAGAGGAAGAAGAGGAAGAAGAGGAAGAAGAGGAAGAAGAGGAAGAAGAGGAAGAAGAGGAAGAAGAGGAAGAAGAGGAAGAAGAGGAAGAAGAGGAAGAAGAGGAAGAAGAGGAAGAAGAGGAAGAAGAGGAAGAAGAGGAAGAAGAGGAAGAAGAGGAAGAAGAGGAAGAAGAGGAAGAAGAGGAAGAAGAGGAAGAAGAGGAAGAAGAGGAAGAAGAGGAAGAAGAGGAAGAAGAGGAAGAAGAGGAAGAAGAGGAAGAAGAGGAAGAAGAGGAAGAAGAGGAAGAAGAGGAAGAAGAGGAAGAAGAGGAAGAAGAGGAAGAAGAGGAAGAAGAGGAAGAAGAGGAAGAAGAGGAAGAAGAGGAAGAAGAGGAAGAAGAGGAAGAAGAGGAAGAAGAGGAAGAAGAGGAAGAAGAGGAAGAAGAGGAAGAAGAGGAAGAAGAGGAAGAAGAGGAAGAAGAGGAAGAAGAGGAAGAAGAGGAAGAAGAGGAAGAAGAGGAAGAAGAGGAAGAAGAGGAAGAAGAGGAAGAAGAGGAAGAAGAGGAAGAAGAGGAAGAAGAGGAAGAAGAGGAAGAAGAGGAAGAAGAGGAAGAAGAGGAAGAAGAGGAAGAAGAGGAAGAAGAGGAAGAAGAGGAAGAAGAGGAAGAAGAGGAAGAAGAGGAAGAAGAGGAAGAAGAGGAAGAAGAGGAAGAAGAGGAAGAAGAGGAAGAAGAGGAAGAAGAGGAAGAAGAGGAAGAAGAGGAAGAAGAGGAAGAAGAGGAAGAAGAGGAAGAAGAGGAAGAAGAGGAAGAAGAGGAAGAAGAGGAAGAAGAGGAAGAAGAGGAAGAAGAGGAAGAAGAGGAAGAAGAGGAAGAAGAGGAAGAAGAGGAAGAAGAGGAAGAAGAGGAAGAAGAGGAAGAAGAGGAAGAAGAGGAAGAAGAGGAAGAAGAGGAAGAAGAGGAAGAAGAGGAAAGAAGAGAGAAGAAGAGGAAGAAGAGGAAGAAGAGGAAGAAGAGGAAGAAGAGGAAGAAGAGGAAGAAGAGGAAGAAGAGGAAGAGAGGAAGAAGAGGAAGAAGAGGAAGAAGAGGAAGAAGAGGAAGAAGAGGAAGAAGAGGAAGAAGAGGAAGAAGAGGAAGAAGAGGAAGAAGAGGAAGAAGAGGAAGAAGAGGAAGAAGAGGAAGAAGAGGAAGAAGAGGAAGAAGAGGAAGAAGAGGAAGAAGAGGAAGAAGAGGAAGAAGAGGAAGAAGAGGAAGAAGAGGAAGAAGAGGAAGAAGAGGAAGAAGAGGAAGAAGAGGAAGAAGAGGAAGAAGAGGAAGAAGAGGAAGAAGAGGAAGAAGAGGAAGAAGAGGAAGAAGAGGAAGAAGAGGAAGAAGAGGAAGAAGAGGAAGAAGAGGAAGAAGAGGAAGAAGAGGAAGAAGAGGAAGAAGAGGAAGAAGAGGAAGAAGAGGAAGAAGAGGAAGAAGAGGAAGAAGAGGAAGAAGAGGAAGAAGAGGAAGAAGAGGAAGAAGAGGAAGAAGAGGAAGAAGAGGAAGAAGAGGAAGAAGAGGAAGAAGAGGAAGAAGAGGAAGAAGAGGAAGAAGAGGAAGAAGAGGAAGAAGAGGAAGAAGAGGAAGAAGAGGAAGAAGAGGAAGAAGAGGAAGAAGAGGAAGAAGAGGAAGAAGAGGAAGAAGAGGAAGAAGAGGAAGAAGAGGAAGAAGAGGAAGAAGAGGAAGAAGAGGAAGAAGAGGAAGAAGAGGAAGAAGAGGAAGAAGAGGAAGAAGAGGAAGAAGAGGAAGAAGAGGAAGAAGAGGAAGAAGAGGAAGAAGAGGAAGAAGAGGAAGAAGAGGAAGAAGAGGAAGAAGAGGAAGAAGAGGAAGAAGAGGAAGAAGAGGAAGAAGAGGAAGAAGAGGAAGAAGAGGAAGAAGAGGAAGAAGAGGAAGAAGAGGAAGAAGAGGAAGAAGAGGAAGAAGAGGAAGAAGAGGAAGAAGAGGAAGAAGAGGAAGAAGAGGAAGAAGAGGAAGAAGAGGAAGAAGAGGAAGAAGAGGAAGAAGAGGAAGAAGAGGAAGAAGAGGAAGAAGAGGAAGAAGAGGAAGAAGAGGAAGAAGAGGAAGAAGAGGAAGAAGAGGAAGAAGAGGAAGAAGAGGAAGAAGAGGAAGAAGAGGAAGAAGAGGAAGAAGAGGAAGAAGAGGAAGAAGAGGAAGAAGAGGAAGAAGAGGAAGAAGAGGAAGAAGAGGAAGAAGAGGAAGAAGAGGAAGAAGAGGAAGAAGAGGAAGAAGAGGAAGAAGAGGAAGAAGAGGAAGAAGAGGAAGAAGAGGAAGAAGAGGAAGAAGAGGAAGAAGAGGAAGAAGAGGAAGAAGAGGAAGAAGAGGAAGAAGAGGAAGAAGAGGAAGAAGAGGAAGAAGAGGAAGAAGAGGAAGAAGAGGAAGAAGAGGAAGAAGAGGAAGAAGAGGAAGAAGAGGAAGAAGAGGAAGAAGAGGAAGAAGAGGAAGAAGAGGAAGAAGAGGAAGAAGAGGAAGAAGAGGAAGAAGAGGAAGAAGAGGAAGAAGAGGAAGAAGAGGAAGAAGAGGAAGAAGAGGAAGAAGAGGAAGAAGAGGAAGAAGAGGAAGAAGAGGAAGAAGAGGAAGAAGAGGAAGAAGAGGAAGAAGAGGAAGAAGAGGAAGAAGAGGAAGAAGAGGAAGAAGAGGAAGAAGAGGAAGAAGAGGAAGAAGAGGAAGAAGAGGAAGAAGAGGAAGAAGAGGAAGAAGAGGAAGAAGAGGAAGAAGAGGAAGAAGAGGAAGAAGAGGAAGAAGAGGAAGAAGAGGAAGAAGAGGAAGAAGAGGAAGAAGAGGAAGAAGAGGAAGAAGAGGAAGAAGAGGAAGAAGAGGAAGAAGAGGAAGAAGAGGAAGAAGAGGAAGAAGAGGAAGAAGAGGAAGAAGAGGAAGAAGAGGAAGAAGAGGAAGAAGAGGAAGAAGGAAGAAGAGGAAGAAGAGGAAGAAGAGGAAGAAGAGGAAGAAGAGGAAGAAGAGGAAGAAGAGGAAGAAGAGGAAGAAGAGGAAGAAGAGGAAGAAGAGGAAGAAGAGGAAGAAGAGGAAGAAGAGGAAGAAGAGGAAGAAGAGGAAGAAGAGGAAGAAGAGGAAGAAGAGGAAGAAGAGGAAGAAGAGGAAGAAGAGGAAGAAGAGGAAGAAGAAGAGGAAGAAGAAAAAGAAGAAGAGGAAGAAGAAAAAGAAGAAGAAGAAGAAGATTAATTGTTTCAGTTACGAAGAAAAATGGATGACATGCATAACTTAGTTCGCTCGCATCTTCAAATCGCCAGCGACAGAATGAAGAAGCGATACGAGGTACCCAAACCACAGAAGAATGTTTAAAGGAAGGCGACAAAGTCTGGCTTCATAACACAAACAGACAAAAGGGTTATTGTCCGAAGCTTCAAAGATCTTGAAAAGGTCCGAATACCATCAAGAAAAAAATTTATAATGGTATTTACCGTATAAGTAAGATCCCGAACGGTAAACCGAAGGTAGTTTACCAAAACCGACTGGCGCCATTTAAGGGTAACTATGTCGAGGAAGAAGAACTGAAACAACTCTAAGAATCACCTGAACTTGTCTTTGGAGGATTTATGACTGCATATGGATGTACCTGAAAAGCAAGATATGGTGTTACAACCAAGCAACAAGATCTGCTTATGGCTCCTAAAAACTACTCGCTGGTTCATAGCATTTTCGCCAACATCAACGATGCTCGAGGTCTGGCATCTGCGTTTCGAAAGCAGTTTGGTCAATTCCCAGAACTTCAAGATCAGTTACCATCCCTTGAAAAAGCATTGAAATTTTAAGATGGATCGCGTTATCTTTTCTATTTGATAACGAAAAACACCTTCCAAGATCGATCCACTCATCATGATGTATGGAAAGCATTATTTGGTCTGAGGGAGCACGTACTGGAGTCCAATGTACATAAACTAGCCATGCTAAGGATAGAGAGCAACCAGCTAAATTGGAGGATCATTAGAAACATGCTGGAAGTTTTCTGCCAAGATTCCAAGATACGAATACTACTCTGCAGTCATTCGCCCAGGGTCCAGGTTTCAATAACAACTGTCCCTTGTTACTTCCATGTTACTGGAAATTGTAAAAGAGGATCTAGTTGCAGATTCAACCATTCAATTTTAGTTCCAGGCAGAATGTCGCGCAAAAGCCAACCCTGTGCTTTGTTTACTTCTTGCCCATGGTATGAAGTCTAGTAGCCCTAGCAATATAGAGACAAACACGCTGCTTCGAAAAACTACCGGATTGATCCGCTTGCAACGTATGAGTCATAGAGAGGCAGTTTTCGAACGTTCTGGGAAGCCTAGAGAGTTCTAGTACAGAGTTGGCTGTATATAAATAGCGCGAGTTGTCTACGGACAGCAGATTGAAAAAATAAAATTTAATTAATAAATTCAAATTGTGAGTTATAATAGTACCTAAATATTATATAAATTAATTAGTACGTCATTAATAAATTGTAAATAGTGTGTTTTAAATAAATAAACTGTAAATAAATTAAATAAACTTTACAATAGGAATCATTAGTGAATTATGGTAATAGCTTTAATGTATTTTTTATCGTGAACGAAATATTTTGTTGTTGCCCTGTACAGCTGAATTCTGTAGGAATAGTAATTTAGTTGTACTACCCTGTACGTTGGAAAATTATATATTTAGAGACAAATTTATACACGTTCATGTTTTAAATTTAATTATTTTAAAACGCGATTGAAATAAAATGTAGATCTATGTATATTTAAAATGCGAAGAGAAATTAAAATACAGAAATGTCAATCTTTGCAGTCTTGAGATAATAATATTATGATTGATAGATGTTTTGCTACAGTAAGAAATATGAAAAGGAAATAAAGTAAAATAGAAATGTTTATATTAACCGCAACTGGGAGCTGGCGCTTGTTGGAACGCGAACCATTTGCCGTGTGTTGCGTTTGACGTGCTTGACGTGTCATTTATTAAAAAGGTCAAATTGTTTAATGGAAGAGTGGCACTTCTAAACAAGCTGACACTCGGGCTCTTGTTCATATATTATCTCATCTAGCGGGTGGGCGGGTCGTTACAGTTCTTTGTATCAGGACCGTCTTTACTAAGACTTTGAAAACGTTAGAAAATTTGTGACAGGATGTACGTTTTAATGCTTTGCATAGTAAAAAAAGGCTTGAATTCTGTTGAAAAAAAGTAATCTGTGAAGCTGTGAAATTAGAAAATTTTAGTTTTAGAAGCGGCATCCGTTTTACCACCAATTGACCATGTGTTACGGTTTTAAAATTCCTACAAATATTACTCTTCGAACTAGTGAGAAAAATGCACCTCTTATGCAAATGAAACGTTTAATATTAATAATATTTAAAATTTATACAAAATATCCTGTAAAGAGAATAAATCTAAAGCCTGATGATATTTAATAGAGTAGTTTATCTTGCCCAGCTGATTCTGATTACCTGAAATTTAAAATAAAACATACCTTTAATATTCGAAAAACCAAAATCTAAGTCCTGAAGTTACTGAGACCTTCTTTAATTAGATTTTCCATTTTAATATTCTGTTAATTATATTCTTCTGTTCATTTTTTCTCATGTCGTTGAGATTTTCTATCCTAAAATAAGTAATAATAATTCTAGTTATTTTAATAATAGATAGGGTTTGTTTATTATTGTGTCACTTGTCCTTGTGTCATTGTCATTCAATCCACCAGATTGACAAGATTTGGTACTAAAGTACAGTTAGAACTTATTAGACAAAGCTACACAATGGGCATATACTAGTTATTATTTAGAAATGGAAAGAAATAGGTACTTTTGTTCAACATTTTTTAAAGAGAACTTGGACTCTGACTTTCAACCTTTTTTTTTGGGGTTCATTTGGTCACTTTCTAACACGACTTGTTAGGCTGCAGAAGGTTCTTTTTTAAAAAGGATTCGGCAAGTCAATTTAGAACTCAAAACTATTGTTTGGAAATTACATATTCTTGTCTGATTTATTGGATAGGGGATAAACCTAAAAATTAGGGATACTGATTACCCAAATAATATTAGATATTACTATCTTAGCTAAGTTTCTTTAAAATTGTAAGATTAATATTTAAACCTTCAATCACTTTTGTTATGCTATTTTCACATTAAATATTTAATTAATTTATCTACTTACATGAAATAAGAAGCTTAGATAGTTTTCAACCTTTTAGGCCTGCCTGTTTCACGTTAACTTTTCGTTAACTACAATTTCTACTCAACTTCACATCGACTTCTCGTTAACTACTAGTTTTACTTTTAACTTCTCGATAACTAGTTGTCTGGATCATATATATCGACTCTGTGATTTGGGATTAAATAGATTGATATAAATCACTTGATAACTTCACTACGGCACGGCCAGTGCCAGATTCCAGTACACGTATGGTATACCTGGATTATCCTGGAAGAAAAACCATAGTTACCAGTCAATTAATCAAATAAGGAATACCAGACTTACCGAATATCGTTCAGGAATACTAAGGTAGGACCTTCCCATATTATTAGGCCCACAATACATCCAGGGTAACCTTCATTCGGACCATCCAGTTAATACACTGTCTCTCTAAAATTTAGATAGTGAATATCAGTTGTTTGTTTGAATCATTAGATTAATCATATGTTAGTAGCCTACTAATTGTTTGTAAATATATATAATCGTTTTTAAAGCAGGATTTGGTCCTCATCTCGGATATCTTTTCTGTATATAAATTAGTTTTATAGAATAATTTAATTAGTACTATATATTGCAAATCCTTACCTGTGAACCAAGAGTACGTACTTGAGGGGCAACTACCCTAATCATAATTAGAATTGTCTTGGTAAAAGTTATACGAAGAACTTATATTTTTTTTTTGATATATATATATATATATATATATATATATATATATATATATATATATATATATATATATATATATATATATATATATATGTGTCGTCATTCTAACCTCACAATACGCACGAGGACAATTTGACATCTGGTCATAGAAATATAATAAAAGGAACCGAATACTCCATATAGCCTGGCATTTTATTTGCATTATAACCCGACCCCTCCTGACTCAGCTTAGTAAACTTGCTTTCTTCTTTTTTATTAGTTTTAATAAATTAAATTTTATAACTAATGAAAATTATATTTATTAATTAAGTCGGAATTTAAAATCCAATAACAAGTTCGTAAAACCGAATAACAAAATTCGAATAACAAGTTTGTAAAATTCGAATAACACATGTTTAACCACCCACTAACTTTTTTTGACCACCCTCAGAAACCTGAATATTTAAAAGCCGAGTGCCCGCTAGCTCCCCGAGGTGATAATGTTTTAAAACTGACTGAACCATAAGATTAACCAATTTTTAACCACCCAATAGATTTTTTAAAACCCCTTAAAATAATTTAATCTCTTCTTGGGCACATTAAAATTATTTTAGAAGTGGTCAAACGCCAAAAACATATTTCTTAACAGTTATGTATCTCTATTGTATACTTATGTCTTCTGAAAATTTATTCTAAGTGAAAATTTTATTTCCTACTTTTATGTTTCGAATTTTCACATTACTTAGGTTTTTTTTTATTTTTATTTAAAATTTATTTTCCAATTGGCCAGACTAAATTACTTAGGATCATTAAAATTATTTTAGGAGGTGGTCAAATAATAAAACATAATTATAAACCATTATGGATCCTTTTTGTGCATTTATGTCGTTTTACCATTTTTTTAAACTAGAAATTAGATTGGGAAATATTTTAATCGAATTGTCAACCCCTCTGGGGTCTTTTTGAGATATTTTAAGAGGTGGTCAAACGACAATACTTAATTTAATTCTTTTTTGGATCTTATTGGGCCTTTCTGAAGATTGAAATTCGTCCCAGAACTCTTGTTTTTCTATAATTTACCCCTTTAAATTATTTAAAGATGTGTAAAAAGCTATGTAAAATCTAATTGGTCAAAAGTCAAACATGATCAGAGATCAATTAATATTATGGTGCAATTTTAAAATATAATAAATTCGGAAAGTCAGTGAGCACGCGGCCTTTATTATTATTTAAATATTTAGGTTTCTGAGGGAGGTAAAAAAGATAATGAATCGCCATACAGGGTCAATAGATGTCAAACGTGTCAAACGCATGCCGCTTCCAAAACTAAAATTTTCGAGATTCAGAGGGCCAACTTCACAGAG